CGCCATCGATCAAAACGCTCACCACGTCCAGCCAACCACCGCTCTCACCATTACCACCTCCGTCTCCGGCGGTGAGGACTCAGTCCTAGCCTGTCCTCATTTCGATCGCACATTCACTTCGGTCATCGCCCGGTCACTTGCGAATACTTCGCACGGGGACTGGTTAGCCGGTGCATGACGCCCCGACATACAGTCGCCGCGTCCGCCTTCACTGCTGACGCACATTCATGGCCGTATGGGCCTATTTGGCCACATGCACCTCCACGGAAATCTGAGGCGATTTGCTACACGTTCGACCACATTACCACACATTTTCCCCACCAACGCATGCATCACATGCACTCCCCGGCATCACCCGGCACCAGCGCCTTCCACGTAAGTCAGAAGCGTGTTCTTCGGCTGCTCCTCATGTGGCTTCTCAACTAAGTGTGAGATCTGTACCGCACACGTCATGATATACGCAAGTGCTAGCCATGCGTAGGCCGTGACCGTGGGGTGTAGTGGCATACAGGCTCACGCCGTGAGAGCTCGGATCTATGCCGCTGCCCCTATCCTCTTATTGTTGAGTCAAAGTCCCGTTCAAGTGTTTGTTGTGGACCAGGGGGCGTGGTGGTACGCTTAGATGCCGATTCTCACCATGCCAGCCCCCTGCGTCCCCGCCTACCTCCGGCCTTCTTGACTGTGTCATAACACCGTGCCCGGGATGGGAGAGGAGGGAGTGCGAAAAATGCAACGCAAGTCTATTGTCACTATAAAATAATCCACGCGCAAGTCGCCGCGCTCGCTTCTAGCCTGATGTGAAGCATGCGATGGACATCGTCCAAGTTGACGGTCGAACCGTTACGTCGGCTTGCCTCTGGACCAGTTAATTTGCACTGGCAGCGACGTTTGAATGTTCGCTTCTCTTTCAGCTGTTAAGTAGACATGCTACTTCCCAACCTGTTTAGTAAAGTGCGAGATTATCGAGTTCTATTTAGTAGTATTTCATGGATGGACACCAGGGAGACTCGTGATAGTATTGTTCGTACTTTATTAGTAGACAAGAGATTAGGTCGACCCTACCGCTATAAGGTGGCATCCAACATACAGGATTTAGGAAGGTCTTATTCAGACTACATTTCTGAGGGCTTTCTATGGACTGAAGATTGCCCAAAGAGCCAGACTGGGAGTCCCATTCCAGGCTAGAAGTAGCCTATGTAGTCGGGTGTGCTCCACAAATCTTCCGGCGAGGCTACTGTTGGGCAATTATATATATATATATATAAATATATTTATGACAGTGGGCGCTCGCCGATCAGGTTACGGAACATGCTCGTTCCGTTGTGCCTTGGGGCTCATACTTAAACCCTCGCAGGCAGTCGCACAGCGACTAGTAGTAGACATAGATGAGATGATACCGACAAAGACAAGGGAGACCGGAATGGCCATTTCTGGCTTATTAGCCGTCATCAGCCAGTCATACCCAACCCCAAGTGTGGATCACTTGAGATTCGAACCCGGGATCTTTGGTCATGGAGTTGAACGCTCTACCATTGAGCCACGGGCCCGTTGTCCTGTCGGTTGTGATCGGGAATATTAATTATGACAGTGGGCGCTCGCCGATCAGGTTACGGAACATGCTCGTTCCGTTGTGCCTTGGGGCTCATACTTAAACCCTCGCAGGCAGTCGCACAGCGACTAGTAGTAGACATAGATGAGATGATACCGACAAAGACAAGGGAGACCGGAATGGCCATTTCTGGCTTATTAGCCGTCATCAGCCAGTCATACCCAACCCCAAGTGTGGATCACTTGAGATTCGAACCCGGGATCTTTGGTCATGGAGTTGAACGCTCTACCATTGAGCCACGGGCCCGTTGTCCTGTCGGTTGTGATCGGGAATATTAATTATGACAGTGGGCGCTCGCCGATCAGGTTACGGAACATGCTCGTTCCGTTGTGCCTTGGGGCTCATACTTAAACCCTCGCAGGCAGTCGCACAGCGACTAGTAGTAGACATAGATGAGATGATACCGACAAAGACAAGGGAGACCGGAATGGCCATTTCTGGCTTATTAGCCGTCATCAGCCAGTCATACCCAACCCCAAGTGTGGATCACTTGAGATTCGAACCCGGGATCTTTGGTCATGGAGTTGAACGCTCTACCATTGAGCCACGGGCCCGTTGTCCTGTCGGTTGTGATCGGGAATATTAATTATGACAGTGGGCGCTCGCCGATCAGGTTACGGAACATGCTCGTTCCGTTGTGCCTTGGGGCTCATACTTAAACCCTCGCAGGCAGTCGCACAGCGACTAGTAGTAGACATAGATGAGATGATACCGACAAAGACAAGGGAGACCGGAATGGCCATTTCTGGCTTATTAGCCGTCATCAGCCAGTCATACCCAACCCCAAGTGTGGATCACTTGAGATTCGAACCCGGGATCTTTGGTCATGGAGTTGAACGCTCTACCATTGAGCCACGGGCCCGTTGTCCTGTCGGTTGTGATCGGGAATATTAATTATGACAGTGGGCGCTCGCCGATCAGGTTACGGAACATGCTCGTTCCGTTGTGCCTTGGGGCTCATACTTAAACCCTCGCAGGCAGTCGCACAGCGACTAGTAGTAGACATAGATGAGATGATACCGACAAAGACAAGGGAGACCGGAATGGCCATTTCTGGCTTATTAGCCGTCATCAGCCAGTCATACCCAACCCCAAGTGTGGATCACTTGAGATTCGAACCCGGGATCTTTGGTCATGGAGTTGAACGCTCTACCATTGAGCCACGGGCCCGTTGTCCTGTCGGTTGTGATCGGGAATATTAATTATGACAGTGGGCGCTCGCCGATCAGGTTACGGAACATGCTCGTTCCGTTGTGCCTTGGGGCTCATACTTAAACCCTCGCAGGCAGTCGCACAGCGACTAGTAGTAGACATAGATGAGATGATACCGACAAAGACNAGCCCGAACCTTGACTGGCCTGATGCGTCCAATCTCAAATAATGCCTACTGGGAGGCAAACGAATGCACGCTTCTCCTGCTTCAAGACTTTAAGCAATTTGGACTGTTGACACATGCTTAATATTTCTCACTAATTCGAAACAATGCTTTTGAACACTCTGCAATGTTAAGGGCATACTCCAAAACAAATGGATAACGCGGATACACACTGAATTAATTTCGTGTTAAACAGCGGGGTTTTGTAGGCTTCTGAAATGTTCCTATATTCAACACTTCGCGGCGTCCTTCACCGAAATTCTCCCTTCCGTTATTACCAGTAGAAAATCCTAGGAAGTAGGCAAAAGCATTGAGATCCAGTGTTTATTGTGACATGTCGAAAGTAAACCAGCTTGACAGTCTGTTTAAATCAAGGCATGGTAAACATGACATCCGTCATCCGATGCTCCCTTAATACGTCCTGAAGGAATTCTCGAAATCGATGAATGTCAGTATTGGCGATGTCGCCTCGGGTTTATTGGAGGGTGTTATCGTAATACGGTCAACCGTGCTGTTACTGAACATTATCTCCATTATTCGCGGTTTGGTTCCCAGGTGGCCGGTGAAAAGAACAACGTCGAACGCCATCACACCTAAAAAACAAAGGCAGAGGTTAAATCGGCTGTATGAGCATGAATATCGTCTACAATATTATGTTGCAGTCGCTTGAATGTTGTGTACTTATTGAACGCGCTTTTCACTTCAGAGCAGGCACGTACCGGTCTTTCCAAATATGGAGATGGCAGTATAATCTCTATGGGTCGTTGTAATATTTCCAGTGGCGTTTACGTGCTAAAATGTTAGAAAGGCGAACTGTTATGGCAAATGTTATACTTTTAGAATAAAATGTGGCAAATAAACATTATTCAAATCGACTAACAATCTTTTACTTGCCGTAGATTGCAAATAAATTTAGTAACAAATTGACTGGTAACTGTTTCGCGACGCTCTGTTCACAAGCAGTGGCCATAGTTGAATGATATGAATGCAAATCGTATCACTTAATCGAAAGCTTTATGCCGAATTTGGCAAAAATGATATTTCAGTCATACATATTTGACGTAATTATTTACCCCGATACCCGAACTGGATACTAGAATGTGAACGAGAGTTTCATTTTCCAGAATTTCTTTTGCCAAGATAGGCCTCGTTGTATAGTTCAGTGCGTCGTCTAAAACGGACATTTTGACACGTATTCAACTCGTAAGGTGGACGAGAAACGTGGTTAAGTCGTAAATGCAGACGGACTCAATATACACAAATAGAAAATTCTCTGTTTATTTAATGTGTCTGACTGGTGAGCAGCCCCAAGTAAAAGGAAAATGCCTGCTGTAGGCTGCGGTCGTAATTTGAAAAATGCCCTATTGCTGGAATAGGTTGAATGACATGTCCTTTCCACTTACAATCTGGCGTGCCTGCCTTCTTATACTGAATTCCAACTGGGTGGCGGTGGGGGATATTCGCAGATTCCACCGTAAATGATGCGGTGGATCCCTTGAGAAGACCGTATGCGACCAGCAATTTTTCGGCTTGAGAATAAAATATCGATTGAACATTATGGAATTCACTCATGTATGACTATCACATAGAGCTGTGTTTTTCTCACTGCAATCTACTACCAACTCGCCGCATCAAAGACATTCTATTTGAAATGCGGTTTCATCATAAATTAACTTTTGCTAAAATTTGACAAAAAACTAGGAAATGATCTGAGTTTGTTTTGTTTAGGTAAAGTTTTGAGGATCGCAAAATGAGCTCCATTCCTTACGTTCAACGACTTCCCAGCAGTCATTTGGCGCGACACAGTGAGATCCGTTGTTCGGATTGGAAATTTCCTCGCCGTCCACGAACATGCGCTATAAACAAGACTTCTGTGTTAGTTTATTGACAATAGCAAATCATTGTGCTCCTTATTTGAAAAAACGTACCTCCACATGCCCATGCAGCTGTTTCGTGAAGACGTAATCGCTGTTCTGTTTAAATTCCAAGGTACTATTGAACTCTGTAACTGTAAATTCAGTCATTAGCATTGGATGCTGATCCTTTTAAATGATGCAATTTTAATGTCATATGAAGTAAAGAAAAATAGCACAATTCAACGTGTTTTTAAAATCCAAGTTTTCAAGACCTTACCTTCTCCAAAAGCGCTGCATACAACTACGAGCAATATAATTTGGCGGAACATATCCAATTGACTACGCCTGCATGAGTTTGTAACCCACTATTTATAAACGTCTCAATAGCCAATCACAGTACGCGGAACAAGGGTTGGTAAATTGCCTTGTACGTTCTAAAATTAGAACTGTGTGAAAATAACTACTGATTAAGGGTTTAGTCCCAAAAAATCGTATCAAATAAAATATTAAAATAAAAGATGTCTCAATAGGCAATGCAAGTCAGAATTTCCTGCATAATGGCACAGGCAGGTGTGAGCACAACGAGTATAGCAAGAAGGTGTTCGTTTCAAATCTGGACATGGTATCTTTCATCCACAAAGACCAGACTTGCGTGAAAGCCTACTGATTTTTCACACTTTGCATTTTGGCTGGGTAAATAAACAAATAAGAGAGGCAACTCAGGCCGTGTCAAGTAAAATCGTTTCTTCATCTAATGTCCTTTTGAGGATGGAACAACTACCGTGACAGTAGTTTTGTTGCTTGACCATGTCTGATCGAGTTGCATTAAGAGTTGAAGTGCTAATAACTTTAGTGATCATAGCCAATAGAAGCGAAAAGACGAGTCCGCGTGATCCATTTGTTTCGGAGTATGCCCTTAACATTGCAGAGTGTTCAAAAGCATCGTTTCGAATTAGTGAGAAATATTAAGCATGTGTCAACAGTCCAAATTGCTTAAAGTCTTGAAGCAGGAGAAGCGTGCATTCGTTTGCCTCCCAGTAGGCATTATTTGAGATTGGACGCATCAGGCCAGTCAAGGTTCGGGCTGCCACCTCGTTACCAATAAGCATGGCCTAAAGTGCTTGCTGGGCTGACAAATCGACAATTATAAACGTGTGTGAATTTAGTAAATGGCAAAAGTGTGTTCTGATATGTTCGAAAGCATGTTTCATTATGACCTGTCTACATTCACTTTGCCTATGTGTCCTCTGGGATGCATATTATAGCCATTCTTGTTAGCTTTGAAGAACATCGTAATAGACAGACGAGTAGGTTACGTAACTCTAAAGGCCATGTCATTTAGATTGAACTTCCGTGCGTTGTCCTAGGTACAACCCCAGCTTTGAGTCAATTGTCGGTCGGATCATATTTCTTAGCCGTATCTACAGTAGACAAGCCCCAGCCTAACCCTTAACCCTAGCCCCAATCCCTAACCCCATATCCCAACTCCTTACCCCAACTCCTAGTCCCTAACTCCAACTCCTAACCCCTAACATAAATCTCTAACAGGTACGGCTACGAAATAGGATCTTGCCCAGTTTTCCTCTCTAACTCGCACTAACAGACGTTTAACCATACAATGGCTACAGGAGATTGCTTAAGTTATATTTTGCCGCATGGTCGGACATCAGGGAACCGCAGTTTAGCAGCAACCGTTAGAGATCACCAAAATTAACCATATTTTCATGGATTGAAATTCATGAAACGACGTCTTTCCTGGGAATATGCGATTTACAGTGCTAGAGTTAGTTGATGATGTGACTGTACGTTCATATCTTATTTCAAAAGCAATATGTACCTACTACCTCTAACCACCCAGTTCGGCTACGCTGCCATTGTACACATATATTTTAGGAATCCCAAAATTGCTCTTTGACTGACAATTGAAACCTACATCTGTCGACGGCGGATATGGTACAACAATTGCAGTTATAATGACATCTACAGTAAATGCGCTAACTCATGAAATGTCAACCAAAATTTCGAAATGCGTTCTCGTTTCGAAAAGATAAATTAAGTAGTGTTGTAAAACTAATCGTCAAGCAGCATAAATCTATAATGATCCAGTTACCGCCGGGTGTCGGCTTTCGAAAGAACTTATTTTCGGATACAGACAAGATCTATACTCTGCAAAAAATGACTACTTAAGTAGCATGCAATTTTCTCATTGATTTTCGATGCCCTTGAAAATTCAATTAAAGTTCATTAAGAGTTGAAGTGCTAATAATTTTAATGATCATAATTCGTGAATCCGAAGTAGTTTATGAACCACTTGACAGGAGAAACAATGCTTTGTAGGAAAGCATGCCTCGTTCCAGAAATACCGCTCGAATACTGTAACTAATGCCGCTTATCTTAAATTCGAAACCTCTCCCGGACGTGGACAATGAAGGCTGCTTATTGGTAGGTCACAGAGAGCTAACAAGATGACCAGTCAAATAAGTTGGCGATGAATTTTGTGTAAATGATTTTGTATTGGGGAGCATGACGTTACAACAAACTAGGTGGAACTAATCCCGCGAGCAAGAGAACCCGTGCACGGACTGGGGGTAAAGGGAGAATGCCGTGGATGTTAGACAGTGGATGTGACAGCGTGCTTGCGGATAGTTTGAACTTGATGCAGGCAAATGAAGCATCGATCAAGCTGGCGCACAACCACCTCTGCGGACAGGTCGACATCAGGGCTGACACTGTGTTCCGCAAGTGACCTGTACAGTGAGTGACCGATCTCATGAAATGTTCGCCAAAATTCTGAAATGCGTTTCCAATTAGGAAGGATTAATTAGGTGGGGTTGTAATACTGATTATCTTGCGGTGTAATCCTATAATATTTTGGACTCGGCAGGATGTCGGCTTTCAAATGCACGTAATTTAAATCTCCTGTAGAAGTCGTGCTCGGTAAAAAATGACTACTTAAGTAGCATGCGCTTTTCCCATTGATTTTCGATGGCCTTGCAAATTTAAATACATTTTATAAGAAATGTTAACAAAAATATGCTTTCTTTCACAAGTTTGATAGGGAACCACCTCATCTTTATATTTTATACTCGAGGAAGCATTATAATTAGGTTTGAAAAAAGTTTCTAATTATGCGAATTTTTAAGACCGTGAGATGGCTATTCATACAGCATCATACCTGTGCTTTTACCACTACGCCTCCTGAAATGTACAACATAGTCTGCATCCATTGCAAAATTTTATAGACTTTATATGAAATGTTTTAAAGATATAGAAGAATATGTGATTTTATTTACGCGGAACGCATGAAGCTTGTAGACTGCAGTCACTAAGCGCAAATGCAACGGTTGACCAGGCTCCAAATTATTCGAGAATTAGGAAACTTTTTTGAAACCTAATTATAATGCTTCCTCGAGTATAAAATATAAAGATGAGGTGGTTCCCTATCAAACTTGTGAAAGAAAGCATATTTTTGTTAACATTTCTTATAAAATGTATTTAAATTTGCAAGGCCATCGAAAATCAATGGGAAAAGTGCATGCTACTTACGTAGTCATTTTTTACCGAGCACGACTTCTACAGGAGATTTAAATTACGTGCATTTGAAAGCCGACATCCTGCCGAGTCCAAAATATTATAGGATTACACCGCAAGATAATCAGTATTACAACCCCACCTAATTAATCCTTCCTAATTGGAAACGCATTTCAGAATTTTGGCGAACATTTCATGAGATCGTTCACTCACTGTACTGTCCACAATTGCTAAATCGCATTGCAGCCGGTCTGCTAGACTCCAGATGAATGACCTCCAGGCCAGACATGAGTCGCTGTGCGCAAAAACGGGGAGCCGAACGAATATGATTCTTTTCAATTTTGACAGGTCGGCCATGGCTGGGGGAGTTTGTTTTAAGCTGACTGGGCATGTCGGAAATACAAATTTCAATAAGCGGCAGGATCAAATGACTACTTGCCCTCCTCCGACAAATATTCAATTGACCTGCTGAATACAGACTATATATGCGCTTGGATGACTTTGTCAGTCATTTAATAACGGAGTCAATCACCCTGCTGATGTTAACTGACTAACGATTATAGACACATTTTGCCGTAAAAAAGCATTGAACAGCCATCAGCGATGGCCACACCATACAGTGACCATAATAAAACACGCTCTTTTATTAATCACCCAGGGGAAGGGGGGTATCGGAGTAATTAAAAGTAAATTTTCAAGCATATTTTAGGGCAAGTAGACAAACTATGTGCAGCATTCTATTCATGTTTAGAGAATACGCAGTGTTATTTTAAAAAAAGATTAGCGACAGTAAAAACACTCTTTTGTTCGAAAAGAAAAAAATCAGGGTGATTTGACTAGTTTTAAGGGAGAAAAAACTTTCGCTCATGAAAGGTCAAACACGCGAGTCGGACAAAACCGGCCTGCATGTTTTAGTGAACGACTGACTCGTAACGGACACCTACAAGGCCGAATTCCTAAACGAATTAACAATATCCGCATCAAAGTGGCGAGACGAAAGGGGCCCAGACGCTGTCAATCACAGTCCGCTTAGAGTCCAGCCGAGAAGGGGACGTCAAAGACTGAGGTCTATAGAAGCGAACAGGAGAGTTCCAGGAAACAGTTCGTAAGAAGAAGAAGATGCGATTACTGGAACAATAAGTTTATTGACCTGGCGTTTCGGATCACCACTGGAACTAATAATCAGGGAGGGTTGCAAATAAAGGTCAACCGTCTGCACCCGTTTCTGATGACGGGTTCGAGTGTGAATCCGAGACGCCAGGTCAGTAAACTTCTTGTTCCAATGATCTTGTTTTCTTTCTTCCAATTTCTGAGGCATTCATAGAAGCGTCATGGGAGATGCAACACTGAAACCTCTTTTCTGACTCACCTAACCACTAGCAGGTGGCGAAAAAAGATGATTTAGCCAAAATGTTCAATAGACCGCCTGGGATCGAAATAAAGATATGGCATCAATGACCGCGAAATCGCCGATTAGGGGATGGGATCACGTAATCTCAGAGGCTAGAATGGATTCCTGATAGGGGTTGGCGATCAGCAAAACGTGCTTAAAGCCTGCACGTCAAACCGTTCCCCCCAGTACATATTTGAGGGGATTTATCAGGTAGGACATCGCGTGCTGTGGGGGACACGAGGCATGGACTGAAAGATCGAAAAATTCGAATTTTCTCATGAGAGATCGTAGAAAACAAAACCACACACAGAGAGAAGGGAATATTAGCGGATGCGGTAATTGGGCGGCGGCGTCCTTTATCCCCGACTGCCCTTTCTATATGTCATGCAGAAACTTGTCCGGAAAAGATGGGGAAATTAGAAGTCTCATCGGGTCAGTATTCAGATAAAGGCACAGCCTTCTCTTATAGGTATGTAGATTATCTGATGATCTCGTATCTACTGGAAGGTTATTTCAAAGGGAAGTATACCTGGAAGCGAATAAAAGGGAATGCTTGTAGGTGGAGGACGCGGGAGGAGGCATAATTAAGAAGGAATTACGAAGATTTTATGGGCGAATAACAGGTGTAGGGGCTGAAATCTAAGGAAGATTTGAACTATCACCGATGCAAAAGAGAAGACAGAAGTCTGCTCTTAGGCGTCGAACACACGTAAATTTTGGGTTAGTCAGCTGGCATTTATCCGAGCAGAAATATTTTGATGGCCGTGCTTAACTGTCTTCTAGTAAAATGTCTTCGAGACCAAGAGAGGATCTTTAAGCTGCTTCCGCAACCTTTTTAAGAAAGTGTTGGACAGCAAAAGAAGTGGCACGCGATTCATACGTTCTTAGTGAAATGAGATCGAGAAAAAAATTCGGATCATTGTTTGAAAAATAATGTGCCATTCGAGCGTGCTTATAAATTAGATGTGCTAACTCACGAAATGTTAACAGAAATTCTGAAATGCGTCTCCGACTCGAAAAGATTACTTAAGTAGGGTTGAATTATTGGTCACCATGCAGAATAATGCCATAAGATTTCCTCTATTTCAGGATGTCGGCTCTCGCCCGAGCTTCGTTTCAGCGCCTGCGAAAAGTCACTCTAAAAAATGACCATATAATATAAATTTTCTCATTGATTTTCGATGCTCTTATAAATTTCTAAATATTTTATTGGAAACATGCACAAAATATTAATATTAATTTTATGTTGTAGAAAACTGTTTTCTTCAAATTTTCTACCCAAAGGGAGGGTATAATTCGGCTTTAAACAACTATCCAAATTCCCGAATAATTCGGATCACGACCTGCGCATGCAGTTGGCTTTCAGGGTATCCAAATTATAAGCTGCATATTTTCCGTGTATGAAAAACCATGCAGTGGTCTACGGTATTAAGAGGATGCCATAAAATTTAGCAGTGGATATGAAATAGTAAATGTAGAGGCACGATGTTCTATTAGCCGGCATTTAGTCCTCTTAAAAATCGCATAATCGGAAACATTTTTAAAACCAAATTTTACCCTTCTTTCGAATATAAAATTTTAAGCGGACATATTTTTCTACCAAATATATGAAAGGGTGAATGTCTTTACGCATGTTTTCCATGAACTATGTTTGAATTTATAAGGAAATCGAAAATCAATGAGATAATTGTATATTAAATAAGTAGTCATTTTTACGCAGTTTAGTTTCTGTAGGGGAACGAAAAGAAATACGTTCAAATGCCGCCTCTTGAAGTATCTGACATATTCTGATATTGTGCGGTATGGTGACTGCTGCGTATCCTGGCCGGGCCGTCAGGACATCATGCCACAAGCACGTGCCAAGCGAACGATCAAGGTCATGACCCCTGTTCACACCTTCTTTGTGCTGATTGGCCACCCATCAGCCTATGACAGTCCCCCTTGCCATATACCCGTCCGTTTCCACAAGCCTCCTCACTTGTGCTGTCTATCGTACTCAGTACACGTCCTATTTCCTAGTAACCTTCTGTTTTCCATACATAACAGTGACCAATAATACGATCCAACTTAAGTAATCTAATTGAGTCGGAATTGTATTTAGAATATCAGTCATCATTCTATGTGTTAGTACAGCCAAGGTATTTAGAAATCTCTTGTTAACATTAGCATATCTAAACAGCTACGTCCTATTGCTGTCTGTGTAAAAATGGGAACTGGAAGACACCAATGGTTTCTAATCGAAGAGAGGACAAGTTGAAACCGGTTTGATAAGTAAATATTATCCAGAAGCTCCTAGAATTTAGAAGAGGAAGTATATATATGCCAGTCAGTTTATTGCAAAGTAAAATCGCCTTCGATTATCTTGACATTCAATAAGGTCTCTGCAATTTTTTCAGAGGGTTTGCAGAGGTGGCTTTCATGTCTGGAGTAACGAGGAGGGTTATATGTACGTCCGGTTTGAGCTGTCGTATTTGGCGGATGGATTACCGAACTGAAAGGCAAGAAACGTTCGTGTCATAAAGTAAACGTGCAGGTGAGGCTCTGACGTAACGAAAACAACCACCGCAACATTTTACACGGTCTTGTCTGTATAAGCTGAGAATATCTATAGCGCCGCCGAGTTGAAACAACATGGAGTGTGGGCCAAGATTCTGTGGCACACGAAACATATGGGAAAAAACTCAAAGGCAGCAGTTCTTAGTTGTGGCATGGCTGCACGACTGATCTCGCTTTGAAGGAAATACAGTGAGCGTTTTCATAAGTGCAGATTTCGCTCGCTAATAATTTTCAGCTGGAGGGGGCAAAGGAGCTGGGCGCGAGAAAAGTTATGGATTTGCAGGGGAACTTGTGAATGAAAGATAAACGTCTGTTACTAGACACATTTCCTAACACTTAATCATCAAAATCTCCCAAGCAGCATAACTGCAGGACGTAATTAAAGTTGACAAACAGGACGGTTCTATACAAATCGCAAAATAATAACATCAGGACATCCGCCCTAGTATGCGAGGTAAGTAGAGAGGATACCGTAGAGGGAGAGAAAAACCATCCCTAGGGTTGCGACTTCTGGACAAATCTAAGTACATGTATGTTAAAAAAATGGTGCAATACCGTACAATAGGCTGCAGTATGATCAGATCAGAACCATGTGATCACAGGTCTATAAGGTGCCTCTCGATGTGAAGCCCCCTACAGCTGTTTGACTAGGGATGATGTTTTCGCAGTAAATCACACTTCGTCTAGTTTAGGCTACTGGATATGGAAAACACACTGGCTATTATGTAGCCAGTGCAAGGGGGACAAAACATAACGTTTCCTCCACAGAAAACTACGTTCTCGATGACTTTTGAATAAAAAATGCTGAATCACCCCTATCGCCCTATGAAACTTCTATTATATCGTGCGACTGTTTTGACATCTATTCCTAGTCCTACCTATGCGCATAAGTGGTCTCATTCGGAATGGTTGTCCCTTGCGGAGGAACGGAAATGCTTTGTTCTCGCTGCACTGGTTGCACAACAAGCAGTGCTTTTCCCTAATCCTGCAGACTTAACGGGATGACATTTGACTTGCCACGAAAACATCGTCCCTCGCCAAAGGCCGCCTACACGCATTTTGACAGAAGACCGCGATACATCTCTTAGATCCCTGATCACATGCCGCTGAAATGAGCACGGTGCAGTTGATTATACAATAATACGATGTTATCTTCGTTGCTACCTAGTACGCCGACTTTCGAGTTTCATGTGATATTCTCAATGCCTTCAAGAATGAATTTTGTGAATTTATGAAGTAAATAAGAGCTCGTCCTTAAGAAAACGCACGTATTTGCCTTTTTAATTGCAAATATTCCCTTCCTAGTGCACTGCAAAATTACAAACGTCCGTACCAAGCAACACTTTGTAAATATTAATTTGCACACTTACACAGTATAGGTTACCTCGACCAAAACATTCATTTTTGCAGATGACCGCTGTATTCGTCAGCCGCACGCCTGCACTTTTTCACCATATCGCACCATACACCTGACTGTACTGGACTCAGTCATTAAACATTCCATATTTTGCTGATGTTTTCACTGATGTCGGAGATAACAGAGACGTTAATTTTCTAGGGGATCAGTCGCGTTTGATGAAGACCAACAGATTTTAATTTTATGGCATGGTGCACCCCAGCGATCAACATAGGAAATGGTCTCACTGTGAATTGCACACTCGGCGACAAACACGGAATGTTTGGGGCGAGTACGATCTCATCTTCTAGACTCTGAGAACACGACATGAGTGAAGTTTAGGATGTGAGTGATCTAGAACTTAAAGTTGGCTTACATTCAAACACTGCCATGGGCCGCATTTCTGCATCCGTGAGGGGGTTCATACATGAAGAAACTAATCTAATCCAGAAATATTGCGAAAATACGCATGCCAAACCTGCAAATAGACATTTGGTTTATCCCAATAAAGCGACACATTCTGATATGGAGTATTAACCAGAAACCAGAAGGAGTTTGCTGAGGGACACACACTGACGAACCTAACCCCTCGCAGCTGCGCCATGCAGCAGCAGAATGTCGTCGAAACACGCATGTTTATATGGTATAACATTAACCTGAAATATACTACTAGCTGCCTGTCGGCAGATAACGAACAGTACGCGGTTACCCGCTGTGGCTGATAGACTTCGGTCCAAATATTCATACAAAAAATCTCGGTTTGAGGCTATAGACCTTGAATAAACTGATCTACTCCAAGTTCTTGGATAATTTCAGAGGAAATTAAAAAGCAACAATATGAAAATTGTGTGTGTCAAGATAGAACAGCTAATTAAAAACGATTTCTGGAAGCTATCCGACTACATCTACGGATACAGACAGCCAGGTAGTGGCGCCAGACATGTACAGTGCGTGACCGATCTCATGAAATGTTGGCCGAAATTCTGAAATTGGTTTTCGATTAGGAAGGATTACTTAGATGGGGTTGTAATACTGCTTAGTGTGTGGCATAATCCTATAGCATTTCGGACTCGCCAGAATGTCGGCTTTGGGATGCACTCCTTCTTGACCTCCTGCAGATACCTTACTCGGTAAAAAGTGACTACTTAATTGGCATGCACTTTCCGTACGCGCATGCAGTGCAAGGGAAACAAAACCTGTCGTTCCCTACGCAGGAAGCCTCGCTCTCAAAGACTTTTAGATGTAAAATTCTGAATCACCAGTCCCAGACTATGGAACTTCCACGCTTTCGTGCGGTTGTGTTGTCGTCTATTCCTAGTCCAACCTATGCGCATAAGTGGTCTCATTCGGGATGGTTGTCTACTTCGGAGGCACCGAAATGCTTTGTTCCCGCTGCACTGGTCGCACAACAGGCAGCGCCTTTCCCTAATCCTGCAGCCTAAATTAGATAATGTAAAAACTGTCGAAATATGGAATTTACTGGTGTTGTAAAACAAAAGTTTACCTGTAGACCTTAAAACTATTTTACATTCAAATTTGGAATATTCAGAGAAATGCGGCTGTATTTTTCAATAATGTCGACCATATCTACGTTTCCCTTCACCTGATCTACTCAAGACTATGTGTCATTTCGCTTGCTCGCAATGCCTTTTTTGCAATATTTGTGGGTTAGATTAGTTTCTTCATGTATGAACCCCCTCACGGATGCAGAAATGCGGCCCTTGGCAGTGGTTGAATGCAAGCCAACTTTATGTTCTAGATCACTCACATCCTAGACTCCACTCCTGTCGTGTTCTCAGAGTCTAGAAGATGAGATCGTACTCGCCCCAAACATTCCGTGTTTGTCGCCGAGTGTGCAAATCACAGTGAGGCCATTTCCTATGTTGATCGCTGGGGAGCACCATGCCATAAAATTAAAATCTGTTGGTCTTCATCGAACGCGACTGATCCCCTAGAAAATTAACGTCCCTGTTATCTCCGATATCAGTGAAAACATCAGCAAAATATGGAATGTTTAATGACTGAGTCCAGTACAGTCAGGTGTATGGTGCGATATGGTGAAAAAGTGCAGGCGTGCGGCTGACGAATACAGCGGTCATCTGAAAAAATGAATGTTTTGGTGGAGGTAACCTATACTGTGTAAGTGTGCAAATTAATATTTACAAAGTGTTGCTTGGTACGGACGTTTGTAAATTCGCAGTGCACTGGGAAGTAGATATTCACATTTCAAGAAAAGTTTCTTGTATTTTGGTGTGGACGAGCTTCATAAATACAGAAAGCTCAGTCGGTAACGTGTTGAAAAATCACATGGACATCATAGGTGGCTTACTTGGTACCAACGGAGCTAACGAAGAGGAAAAGGTGCATCGTCCATAAGTCCCTGATTTTCTGAATCAAAAGTCAGCAGTTACAGTGTGTTGTTATACAAAAGGATGCAGTATGTTAAGGCCGGTGGTTTACATCATGGCATGTCATCACAGAGCGCGTGCTTCTGACGGCAGGCAATCAGGCCTAAGCAAAGACTTCATAGGAGCGATGGCGGGGCCATATCGACATCAGGCCACTCAGGTCTGCCCTAGTGTTAAATACAAATAAGTCGGATAATAGTCTAGGAAGATCATTTCGTATTCTTATTTCGAGTCCTCAGTTTGAAGAAATCATCATAGTTGGGAATTCAACTACCACGCCATCGCGCGAAATGCAAGTATATGGGGGTCGCTTTGCACATTTTCCCTAGCCTTTTGAAGTTTGCCAGATGCAAGCACACAGCAGAATGAGACGGCATGTCATCGCAGGACATGTATTTACGACAGCAAATAGTCAGGACCGCCCAGAGACTTCATACGAGGTACGGCGAAGCCATTAAGATATCAGGCCTGAAGTCTGACCTAGTGGTAGAATCAAACAGGCCAGATAATAGGCTGGGTAAATCTTCACTTGTTCCTTTACAAAACTCTCACTTTAAGGATGTCACCACATTTGGGATGTCCATTAACCCACCATCCTGTAAAATGCGAGTATAGAATGTCGTAAATAATTTCTCCAACTCAACATCTAGCCTGAATCCCTAAATAATAGAGCCTGCTAATAATGAAAACAGATTTTCAAGACCATTTATTCAGTTTCCTAATACACCTCACTCTCAAATTATGCTCAGTATTCTTAAAACCCAATTTTTATGCCTCCTATTCTTTCCACCCATAATATAGCATTCCTGTTCATGAATAATGCCCAAATACAGTGGGTGGGCTAGCTCATGAACTGTCGACCGAAATTCCGAAATGCGTTTTCGTTTCGAAAAGATTACTCAAGTAGCTTTGTAAGGCTACTCATCATCATGCAACATAATTGTGTGGTAATTCCGTTTTCTTAGAATACCGGCTTTTGGATGAACTTCTTTCGACTCCATGCAAAAACTATACTCCACAAAAATGACTACTTAAGTAGCATGAAGTTTTCTCATTGATTTTCAATGCCCTTAAATATTCAACTATATTTCGTAGAAGAAATGCATACAAATATAAATTCTTTTGCTCTTACGGCAGAAAATGACGTCTTTTTCTTCTAATTTTATGCTCGAAGGAAGAGTATGATTCGTTTTTCAAAACCATTACCGATCCCCACATAATTTTGAACCCGTTGGCATATTATTTCTTCAATCAATGATCCGAATTTGCTACAATTTATTCGAAGGCGCAAAAGAAGGTCTTCACGATCACATTCCGCTGAAGACGTTTGAATCGAGTTCCACGTTGTCTGCTGTGCCGCGTCTTCTTAAAATACAGACGGTAGAAACTGCAGAAGTAACTCAAATATTTTGCTCTAAACTTACTATCGATTTACCTTAAAGTAGCTGAAATATTTGAATTAGCTATAAAAGGGAACTTCGTGCGTGATAGGCGTAGGGAGTGTTTGGCTATCAGTGGTGCGACTCCTTCTAGGTCTGTAGCTCGTGTCCTCTGCCAAAGATCGTTAACTAAGTCCCATCAAGTCATTCCACCTTTCCTTAGTTCCTACTAGACCTTCATAACAGCAAAGTCAGGAAAAGTAGATTTGTTAAGTTAATTCTGTGCCAATCATTTCACCATTGAAATTAACCCCATTCCTTCAATTCCTCCGTCGTGTGATGCTTCACTCATAGCTAATGAATTTGATCCTGCGAATATTCATAAACTTATACGCCAGCTTACTAAGCTGCACTCAGTAGGAACTGGCAACATCCCGAACTCCCTTATTAGGCAGCTAAGAAATTTTACTTCTCTGCTTAGCAAATTCTTTTCAGTCTTTCTCGAGAAGGGTTTCTTTCCTACCTATTGAAACATTTCTATTTTTATACCAGTATTTAAATATGGCTGTTGTTCTGATGTTAAAAGCTGTCGACGTGTCCATAAAGCGCATTCTTTCGTCAACAGCTTTGAAAAAATGGTTGCTTTGACGATTATTGCCTTTTTACAGCCAGTAAATTCATCAGATCTCCCGAATATGGCTCCGTACTCGACCGCTCTTGTGAAACTTATCATATGTCGTTCCTGAATCTTCTATTCGTAATAATAATCTATCTATGGCCGTTATTTATTTTGACCAGAGCCATCTGTTAAGTGGTGTCCTAAAGGGTACCGTTTTATGTCGCCTTCCGTTTCTGCTCTACACTTATGATAATTCGTCAGCAGTTAGACACCAACAACCTCGTGTTTATGCCGCTGACCTCAAATGCATATATCCATTCATTCAATCTACGACCCGCTATTGCCTAGATTAAATCCACACAACCTTGCTTGCTCTCTCAGCATGGAGCTCAGAATGGCTAATGGAATTCCCTCCATAGAGTCACATTTATGGAACTGTATGTGTTTTGGACCGGAAAGTCTGCCCCAACCAGTGGTTTTCCAAGGCAGTCTTATGGCCGTATGTGCCACCACCAAGGGCTTAGTTTAAAGCTACACCAATAATCTAAATCTCTCACCGACATAACTGAGGCCGAAGCTGCCCAGGTTTGTGGTTTCATTTGTCATGATTTCTATCTTCCTGAAATTAAATTAAGACTTAATCGAGTGTTTTATCTTCCAAGTCTTGAGTATTTTTGTGCTTTCCGTGGTTTGATAAAAGAGACTTGTCGTCCAAAAAAGGAAATTGCCAAAGACTCTTTACTAGGAGACTTTTTAGCGTGGCAAAACCAAATGTTTCCTACTTGGACAGATGTCAGGCAGTTAACATAAAATTTCTCTGGATCCGGATACTAAAAGCAGGCTCACCTCTTTCACATTAATCACAGTTCAAATCTTCATTGTATTTCGCTCCTAACCCCTGTAATTCGCCCTTACAATCTTTGTAATTCCTACCTAATTGTGCCTCCTCCTCCTCCTCCTCCTCCTCCTCCTCCTCCTGCATCCTGCATTTATACGCGCTCCAGGTATATTCTCCTTTGGAATATCCTTCCAGTAAATGTATGAGCATCTGGTTATCTTAATAATTCTATGAGAAGGCTGCGCCTTTATCATAAATACTGACAGGATCAATACATGTTCCCTCATCCTTCGCGACGTCGAGAAAATGCCATCGAGAATTCAGGACAACGCCAAAAATTTACAGTATCCGCCCACTTTCCTACTTTGTGTATGGTATCCTTTCAGGGATCTCTCGTGAGAAATTCCGGTTTATCAATTTTTTACTGCATGCATCTTGTCCTTCATATGACGCGATATCCTTCCTGGAAAATTCTCTCAGAGTGGTAGCGCAACCTTGTTGACGTACACCTTCCAGTTCGTCTCCGTTTCGCTATTTGCCTACCATCATCAGGAATCCCTTCTGGCCTATGAGATTTCGCGCTCTCAACCTCCAATCGATGATTTTTCCCGGACCTTGATTTCATCTTTTTAGCTCGATCTAGATAAGCCTCTCGAAGATCAAGGCAGAATTTTCAGTTTACGCCTTACGCTAGTAGTTTGCTAGGTCAGCAAAGTGTTCTCAGGGTTGCGCTTTGATAAGCGCCTCAGCCGTTAATGTCGTCTTCTCGGCGGGACCCTATGTAGAATGTGACTGATCGCGTGTTGGCCCCTCTCATCTGGTCACATTGGCGCACATAGTCGCATCTGGTTTAGGAATTCTGCCTTGACGATGTTCATCTCGAATCCTTTATACATTAGGATGAGTAGGCCAGCCTCGTCCGACCCGCCCACTTACATTTTCATGAACGACAGTTTAATTCGCATCAGAAGTTAATAAGTTCATATTCATTTCCCATTTTTAGAAAGGAGTTTTTCTCACTGTCGCTGACCGTTTTTCGCATCAGACGGCTTATTCCGAAAGCATGAACTGAAGACTTACAAAGCATGTCTACTTGTTCCAAATTAATTTGAAAATCTATTTCTACACGCTTTGATTGCGGGCTATGGTGTACTGATTAAAAGAACTTATTATGATGATTATTTTTTGCGTGGTCACACGTCTCAGAAAGGCATTTCGATGTCACCTCTTCTATCCAGAATAGCGTGAACAGGTTCCTGCCCCATAGATTCACAAAATTCAATTTCGAACGGATTGGGAATATCACATGAAAATCGAAAGTCGGCATACTAGGCAGCAACGAAGATAACATCGTATTATTGTATAATAAACTGTAACGTGCTCAGTTCAGCAGCATTTGATCACGGATCTAAGAGATGTATCGCGGTCTTCTGGCAAAATGTGTGCAGGTGGCCTTTGGCGAGGGACGATGTTTTCGTGGCAAGTCAAATTTCATCCTGTTAAGGCTGCAGGATTAAGAAAAACTGTCTGTTTTGCAACCAGTGCAGCGAGAACAAAGCATTTCCGTTCCTCCGCAAGGGACAACCATTCCGAATGAGACCACTTATGCGCATAGGTAGGACTAGGAATAGATGTCAAAACAGTCGCACGATATAATAGAAGTTTCATAGGGTGATACGGGTGATTCAGCATTTTTTATTCAAAAGTCATCGAGAAAGGAGTTTTCTGTGAAGGAAACGATATGTTTTGTCCCCCTTGAACTGGATACATAATAGCCAGCGTGTTTTCCATATCCTGCAGCCTAAACTAGATGAGATGCATCTCTGAAGCCTGTGATCACATGCTGCTTAGCTGATCATGCTGCAACCTGTTGTACAAAAAACGGTTATTGCTGCGGCACTTATGTACAGTACCTGTGCTAACTCATGAAATGCCGAGGTCAAAATTATAGTGGAAAATGTAGCGTATTTTTGGTGTCGTTATTTGTGTTTATTTAGTTGAAATAAGGACGAAAAGACCGTTTTCTGAAGGAAAGTTTGATACGGATCTGTATATTAAATCCATTTTCATCCCGGCCAACAGTCCCGATTTGAATCCTATCGAAAATCTTTTTGGAATAGTCAAAAGAACTTGGCACAAAGCTAAGAAGACTCTTTCAATGCAGGAAAAATTAGATTTCGTACTCAATAATTACATTTTACAATCCACCATAGATAACCTTGTCATGTCTATGTCGGACAGACTTTCTGCTGTTATTAATTCGAATGGACAATCTACAAAGTACTAATTTTTTGTATCTATTTCTGTCCTTTATTATTTTTGACCTCTTATGCGCCCTCCTCCTTTATACGTCCTCATACGTAGCCTTTATTAACTTGGTTGTAATATAGGCGTTTCTCGAAAATGTGACATCTGTCGAAAATTATTTATTTTTATCTCAGTAAATAATATTTTCTTAACCAAACTTTGCTTTATTTCTTTGACACATAGTTTATTTTCCGCTATCAGACTTTGGGAGCCGTAGAGTTTACCGATTTTGCGTTAAAGTCGTTAACTTGTGTTAATTCGTGACATTTCATGAGTTAGCACAGGTACTGTACTTAGATTAGTCTGTGTGTGGTGTCCGAAATCCTAAATTTCTGGACGGTGTGTCTCTTCGTCAACGGTATCTTTATTGCTTAACTCGCATACTAGGGCAGATGTCTGGATGGTTTTTTGTTTCAGATTGCATGGAAACGCACTGTTGGCAATTTTCTCAACGTCCTGCGGACGTTCCAGTAAAAAGCTTCTGAAGGTTAGCTGCTAGGAAATTAGTCCAACAACAGATTTGCATCCTCCTTTTACAATATCTTCTACAATTCTATAAATACTTTCTTTATCACCTGCTCAGTATATCATTGAATGCAGGCTCTCAAATCCCCGTCTGCCAACTTCAGATTCATGCAGCAACCTAATAACTCACCATCCCCCAATATTCTGACCGTTACTGTCTATTTACTCCTTTCCATAAACACTCATGTTTCCTGCATAATAACTCGATTTCATTGACATTTTCATCGTTTTCTGCACGCTGCGGCTGCTGATTAATTAAAATGTACATTATCTGCCCTCTTCTCAGCCTTCCCTCTCGCTTATTTTCTCTCATGTTGGACACGACCTTAAGGGCTCCCCGAGCCAAGCGCGAAATTCCGTGCGGAGTAACCAAACTGATCCTAACCCTACTGTTAAACGTCCTGGCTAAAATTGCGAACTATAATACTGACGGTCCTAACCTCAACCATAACCCCGACATTAGGCTTACCCTCATAAAACTATTCATAAACAGAACCCTAACCGCACTGAAATTAAGCGCGAAATCGCCTGTAGTGGGGTATAGTACATATCTTCATTTTTGATTTTCCGTACCAGAAGACTGTTGCTGATACTTATTCATGCCTTGCTGTACCTAAGAACACGCATTTATGGGAGACTTGGATGTCCTGATTTATGTTCTGTGGTTTTCCGCCTCGGTGGGTTAATCAGTGGTATTCATTTCCGTGTGACAGTTGAGGGGCGGTGAATTCGAGGCACCAGAACAGACGCATAAGCCGATTAAAAGAGGCCATGTGCGAATACGCGAAGAGGAAAAAGATGCTACTCAAAACCTTTTTACATCTGCAAATCTCTTGGAACTACGCACATCTCGTGGGAAGGCTGAAGTATGATCGCCCACTCATTGGAAATATGTATGCATGCTTACTACTTATTCTATTTCGGTAGGTATTTTTAATTGCTGCTCACTGTCCCATAAGGTTTCATAGGCTAGTGCCCTGCTGAGACAACTTAAAAACTCAAATTAACGTGACGGGGGACTGAATGTAAACATCCACCCACGTAGTTAGGAGGTACAGAAGGGCATCCGACCGGCAGCTTTCGTTGCAAGCTTTCCTACAGATGCAAAGTACAACGAAAATGACGAGCGGAATAACCTCATTCGTTGTGCTGATTGTCTACTTGACCAACGGTTAGGGTAAATACAAACATATTTGTCAGGCAAATGATATTTCTGCACTAGACTGGTCTTAGAGTGTAGATGCTGATTTCTTTTGTAGCCTACACATGAGACATATCGCGCGACCGTCCGATAAAGCATTTTAAATGCATTTGGTCAATCATCTATAAACCGCGTTTATAATATTGAGGATCTGTTTTTGAACCGCGTAAGTCGCATGAAAGTAGCCACACAAAACGGTGCCACTGTTATAAAACTAAAGAACAGCTATACCAAAACCAGCCATCTATAAGCATTTATACATCCAAAGTTATATTCTCATATGAAAATTAAAAAGAACGAAGACTTGAAGAAGGAGACACGATCGCCGGGACGAGAGCTTTATTAGCCTGACGTTTCGGATTCCTACTCGAATCCATCATCAGAGACAACAGAGCAGAAACGGGTGGTTGTTGCACAAGGGGCTGCGGTATTTATAGGATGCAGTAGCCATGCTACCGCATACCTATGAACGTTCACGGCTCTCCCCTTCATCCGGGATTGTCACACTTGGTGTGATCATTGCTTGATGGCCGACATTCGAGTAGATAATTGCTGCAATTTCATCACGTGCGTTGGATGTTGGCGTGATGATTGCTCGGCCATCTGACGCACTGACCCCGGTGTTGGGAAGAGTGTTGGGAAAAGTGACCTCTATCTGCGAATGTCTCTGATGATGGGTTCGAGTGAGAATCCGAAACGTCAGGCAAATAAACTTCTTGTCCCAGTGATCGCATCTTCAGCTTCTAAAAGTGTTCAGCTCTGCCCTCCGCGCATGGCTTGTTGCTCCGCCTGGACGAAGTCTCAGCACGCTGTATTGAATGACTAGATCGTTGCACTTATTGATGAACTGGAGGCCAGTAAACTATGATTCCAGTAGCTCCCGGCTCACTCGGTTGTCACCTCTTGCGAGAATTTCGGCCTCATCGAATTTAAATGTGTGGCCGGATCTCGTCGAATGAGCCGCAACTTGAGAGCTGGCGTCATTTCTGCGCACCGCTGCCGCGTGTTCGGCCATTCTCGTTCGGAGCTGTCTTCCGGTTTCTCCGACGTAGTTGCTTTGTCCGCAACTGCACCAGATCCGATAAAAGACTCCAGACGTTTCTAGCCGTGG